ATTTTGATTTGAAAACTCCATAAAAAGCTCAAACACAGATAAATCATGCTCCCCACATGGTCTGGGAACTGAACCTAAAGAGTTGCATATTTTTTATTTTTATTTTTTTTAGACACCACATATTGATAACAAATTATGTTCATGTAATAATTTAACATTTGTTTTGTCCCCAAAAGAAATTGTTTCATTGTCCGCAAACCAGGAAAAAGTGCAGCTTGTTACCAATGACGACAAAACGTAAGTCTCTAGCCTGTATAAATAAGTGGACTAAGGGAGTGTAACGTCACCCACAGCATTCAGCTCCAGTCAAATGAAGCTCACAGAGGCTTGCGGTCATAGGAACAAATCTGGAGTTCCATATTATGAATAGGAATTTATTTGCAGACAAATTGGTAAAATAAAACCTCCAGGATCATGTAGAGCGGGTTACTACAAACGTTTTATAAACGAAATGACAAGGCTGACAACAGCAGCTGCAAAGAGAGGGGTGATCAATTTTTCAATGTAAAGTCAATAGACCTGGAAGTGCCCCATACTCACTTCCTATTTGGAATGCAGCAACTAGTGGGTTAACTATGTCCATTTATATATACAATCTATAGTCTATAGTCACAAATGTATATGTACTGGGGCAAGACACTCAAACGATAGAAGAAAAAATAATGGTACAGGTATTTTATGTGACTAGACTGATAAAAATTATCTTAACATTTGCATTTGCTTTTTTTCTAAATAACGTTCTTAACTCTTGCAATTCTATTATGACCTGAATAATTATGTTTTTTGATGAACAGAATCATCTTCACATCACGAATTTCTTCTCGTCAACGTTGTATTTGAAATTATTTTGACATTAGGTTCACATCTCAAGTGCTTTTTCCCTGTACCTTTAATCATGGCGAGAGAAAACTTACCATGAATATGAAGATATGAAAGCAGAAGGCCATAGAATACGCTAAGTGCACGTAGAGCGGGTTACTATAGATGTTTTAAAACTGAAATGATAAGGCTCACAACAGCAGTTGCAAAGAGAGGGGTGACTATTTTTCAATGTAAAGTCAATGGAGCCGAAAGCACTCCCATGATCACTTCCTGTTTGGAATGCAGCAATGAGTGGGTTAGCTATGCCCATTTATATATACAGTCCATAGTCTATAGTTACAATGTATACACAAATTAGCCTGATACACATGTTTTAGTTTAATTTGGAAAACTCACAGCATAGAAAACTCATCCAGACATGAAGAAGAGCAAGCTTAAGTTTCTGAAAATAAGTGGTCTGGGAATTGAACTCAACACCTTGCGGTAAGGGGTAACTCTAACTACACTTTGCCTCCAAGATACAATATGATCCGACAGCCATTATATTCCCACTAGCCCAAGAAACACCACAATGAAGTGAGTAATCTGTTATTCACTCCACCTGCCGTTGGTTTTAATATTTTGCCTGATTTGTGCATCTGACTTTGAAAAGGTGACAGATCAGCTTGACAGTTTGTCAGACTTATTGCAAGGTGAGTCACTAAAAACTACTACTGTAAAGTACTTTGAGTGCAAGATGTGCCCCTGGTAAGACCTATAATTATGAAAACCCCTAGTCTTACCTTAAAGTGACAAGATTTCATGTTTAGTTTTTTCCGGAATTTTAGACGTTGGCTAACTAGTAAATGAGGTCCTGAGTGTTGGAGACGTGTAGAGACACTTTTTAAAAGATTCCATCCAGTCCTTGTATTTGCAGAAGTCGCAGGTGCTAGGCTAGCGAATGTCTATGACTATAGTTATCCTGTCACTAAAACCATAGTCTTAAAAACGTCTTATCCACTCCACAAAGCACCTGAGGCAAAACAATTATTACACCAGACTGTCGATGTGAATGTCTGTGTCAATAGACTAATTTTAGAAGTAAAACCAATTTTGCATTTGAAGGATTTATGCCTGAGCAGCAGCAGTGAGTTGTATTTCCTGATAGAAAGCTTGGCAGCAGCGGATTGATATATGAGACGATTCATGCGATGCAAGGTTAGTTTTATTTCACACATTATTCTATCGACACGGACTTTTACATCAACAATCTGGCGTGATAATAGATTTGCTTTGGGTGTTCTGTGGAGTGGATAAGACTGTTTTTAGTGGCAGGCTAACTATGGCCATTGACATGCACTAGCCTAGCCACTTAAAAAAAAAAAAAAAGTGTCTCCACATGCCTCCAACACTCTGGCTAACTAGAAAATGAGGTCCTATGTCCAAAAAATTCTGGACTGTCCCTTTAAGCCATATAGAATGTTGAAACATAGCCAGATTTGTGTTTTGTTTCATTTGCACATGTTTGAGTAATACTGCATTATTAGCCTCTCTACATCTCTAAAGCACAAAACGCTTTATTACACCTTGTGATATCACGAAGCTGTAGTTTTCAAGTTAGCACCAACCGTTTACCTTTTTATTTAAGCAGAGATTGGCAATTCGAAGGCTAAAATCATCCAAACTGATTCTAGTGAAGGTGTATTGAGTTTAAAAACACAGTGGAGCACTTCCTGTATCGGAGTGTTGTCTGAGAACACAGCCTAAATATTCAGGTGTGTCTGTGCGAATGAAACAAAACACAACTGCAGGTATGTTTGTGAAGAGGAAACAACATTATACAGTAACATTTGCGTCTAAGATACAATATGATACAACAGCCATTATTCAAACTAGTAGTATAGGAAACACCACAGCGAAGTGAGTAATTTCTGTTATTCACTCCATCTGCCTTTGTTTAGAATGTTCTGCTTGATTTGTGCATCTAACTTTGAAAAGGTGACAGATCTGCTTGTCAGTTCGCGAGACTTGGTTAAAAAATGAATGGCGTTTTCAATTCAAAGTTAGATGAAGTGAGCAGGGCGCCAGATGCACTGTAATATACAATTAAAAGCCTCAGCATTCAGTGCCAAAATATGAAATGAAAGATTTAATGTAATTGTATTGGAGCCATGAAACCATTGGAGCTGATCAAGGCTATATTGTGCAGACCCTGACTCAAAGAGAGATTTACAACATGGAGTGTAGCTATGTTTTTTATCGTGTGTCGTTTAAAAGGCTATACATACAAAGAGTGAAGGGACCCAAGAGAAGTTGGGTGCAGTATGTACCACAATTTCATATTCATTCACCATTTTTCAGACCATTAAAAAGACAAACAAAAAAAGTGATACCATCTTAAAGGTCCTATAATGGTCTTTATAATGTTGCTATCTCCTCAAAAACATACCTAGAGTTGCATTTTGTGTCATTCCCACATGTCCCACATCTTTATTATTAGTTTGTGTGTTGTCATGTAGTGGTACTTCTAAAGTCAACAGCTGCTTTTTAGCTCAGAAGAGATTGGCAATTCCAGGTCTGAAATTATCTAAATTATTTTAGTGAAGGTGTAAACAAAATCACAGTAGAGCATTTCCTTTATTACCACATGACAATCACAAGATGGAACAGAGTGTTTTCTGTTTGAGAAAAGAACTGAGTTTAAATATCTAGGGTTTGTGAATTAAACATGTGTGAATGAAACAAAACACAACTGCAGGTGTCTAAATGATCATTTAGATGTTATTCCTTAACTCCTTTTACTCCTGTGTTATTTTACTCTTTGTGGTTGTTTTATATGCATTTACATGACTTGTTTACATATTTACTGTTGATGTTACTATCTTGTTCACTGTTGACTCTTTGAGTTGGTCATGTGATGGATCACTTGATTTCCTTGAGTCCTGGCAGCCATTTTGTTCTTTAAAAGTGCCATTTGTTAAAACTTTTTTTTGCCGTGAAATAATAAAGGCTTTTAATATCTTCTATATCTGTAAATCCCAAGAATGCTTCAGCCATTTTCTTACTTTACTATAACTCCAGGTATGTTTGTGATGAGGAAACATTATATCATAGACCAGAAAATTGCATAATATGGGCCCTTTTATTGAAATGAAACTTTGATTGACGAAGTAAACTTGTACTGTACCAATTTTTTATTGTCTTAAACAGAACTATTTCATTTTAAGTGGTTTGCTGTAGCCCAAAGTTAATCATGCATTCCTAGCACCTTAATTATTTACCCTAATGACTTTATAAGTGCTTTTCACAACTCCCAGAGACCAGAACAGAGTTTTACAATGACTGTACAGTTTACAACAACTAGCATGCTAACACACTTCCTGATTATCGGACAGTAAAACCTTTTATAATTAGATGCAGACAGCACACAGCAGACATATATTTGACCTAAAAAACTGCTTAGACAATGTATCTGTACTGGGGCAAGACACATTTTGCTCATACGATATATGTAAAAAATAATGGTACAGGCTCTTTAATGTGACTAAACCGATTAAAATTATCTTCACATTTAGGTTTGCTTTTGTCTAAATAACTTACTTAGCTCTTGCAATTCTATTATGACCTGAATAATCATGTTTTTTGATTAACAGAATCATTTCCACATCACAAATTTCTTCTCATCGTTATATTTGAAATTTGAAATTAGGTTCAGATCTGGAGAGCTTTATCCCTGTTCTTTTTCTCATGGTCAGAAAATGTACCATGAATATAAAAATAAGAAAGTAGAAGGCCATAGAATACGCTAACTGCTTATAAACGGATGGAGCATCAAATTAAAATGAGCATAGCTGAAAAGAGTACTGCTAATTTAAGATTCATTTGGGTTTAAGAATTGGATTTGAAAAGAACTTGAACTTTTGGACCATATCACTGAATACAAATGCGTCTGGTCTCGGAGATGTCACAGCCAGACATTTTATTCTCCTCGTCATTTCTCGCCTTCTTACTGCAAACCTCCAGAGTCTGAATACTTGTCCTGGGGAAACGTATTTAAAGTTTGATAGTTCAATAAAAGTTGCAGTTTTCCAAATATATGGTGCAAGAAATGGACTCAGAAGATGTGTTGTAGTACCCGTGTTTTCAATAGTAATATTTGTAATGTCTTTTTTTTTTTTTTTTCGCCACTTGTCCTGAAGAGGAGGAGGAAGTGAAGAGGCTGGTTTGGTTGTTGATTCTACTGCTGTGTTGAAGATGGAGCGGAGGAACTGGTGGCATTCTTGTTGTAAGGTGAGTCACCAAAAACTACTACTGCAAACTACGTCTAGTCCAAGAGAATGTGCTATTTTCTGAAATTGTCTGTGACTAGTTGCCCACTGCCCAGTAGTTAAAACCCGTAGTTACTTTCTTTCACAATCCCTAGCTCCACCCATAGACTGTATATATGAATGGTCGGCTCCATTGACTCTGGCATTCATTGGCTTTCCACTGAAAAACTGTTGCCCCTCTCTCTGACTGCTGCTGTCAGATTCCTCATTTTGGCCTTAAACGGTTTATCCTGGTCTTTATATTTTGCCATTTTGTTCATAAATCAAGATATGAACATTAATAGCCAACAAATCAGGCGCTTTCTTTTCTCAAGGTCACTACCACTAGAGTTAATAAACAGATTTGACTGACAGCGTTGCTAAGCACCTGCCCCTTGCTAACCTGGCGGTGTTGGCAGGAAGGGGCGTTACCTTCAACAGCCTCGCTCAGGATTTGCACTTTAATTGCTACGATACTTGCAGTCGGAATTCCAAATATCAGGGTTCCCACTCTTTTTCACTGACAAAATTTTAAAACTTTTCCATGACTTTTTCTGTGAATTTCAGTGAATTTTCCATGACTTTACGGCACCCTACATGTGTTGAATTGATCATACTTTGAGGGCTAAATATGAAATGTTAACCCTTTCCACTCACCTTATGGTTTGGTATTATAGTTTTTAACATTCAGAAATCCTGTCGGTGCATTTATTGTCATCTCTTTTAAACAAAAGGCACATACGTTCAGAAATAATCATAATAGCCTCATAATAACAACTTAACAGAATGCTGTAGTTGCGTGAAACGGATACTAAAATTCCATGACTTTTCCAAAACTTTCACTGAAACTTTTACTGAAATTCCATGATTTTGTCCAGGCCTTTTATCAATTGCCATGACTTTTCCAGGTTTTCCATGACTGTGGGAAGCCTGAAATAAGTAACTCGGCTCCAGATTCGCCCCTGTAACTGCTAGCCTCAATGAGCTTCATTTGATTGGAGTTGAAAGCTATGGGAGACTTGAGTCCACTTCTTTATACAGTCTATGGGCCCACCTTGAAGTGATACATTTTCATGTTTTGTTTTTCTAATTGTGGGTTTAATGATATAGTGCCTGTGGTAAAAAAAAAAACAAAACAGAAACGATCATAATTAAGTGGTTATATTTGGAATTTGGAAAAAAAAAAAAAGTTGAGAAGATAAGTACATTTTTAAACCTTCATAATGTCCGTTTGTTTTTCTGAGTTTAGTCATAACTATTGTGCATTTGGGTTTGCACCATAACATGACATTATAGCTTCTGTCTGTACAGTCAATCAGGAAATGAGTGGAAAATCTTTAAACATCAACCATATATAAAATGACTGTTATTAGATTAAGTTAATTGCAGGGAGTTTGTGGATCTTGAATCACCGATATTTAAGACAGTAATGACAAGGTGCAGTGTTTTGGCTCTGAAACGGGCGCAGCGTGACTTCCTTTTTCCTTTAATCTAACGTGTTCTCCTTTTCGCGCGCGTCTATATTGTGTTGGTATGGAAACTGAGCTTTACCAACACATAACAAGTGAGAGAAAATGCCAGTCGTGCCAACCTTTTGTGAAATGTCAAAGTCCCAACTGTCTCGTAGCTTTTTTTTTTTTTTTTTTTTTTTTTTAAATGATTTCTGTCACAGCTTGAGTTGTCATCTTTAATCCGAATCCGTCTCCTTACTTTGCATGCTAGTTTCGTCCCCTGAATCCGAATGGCATTGCAATACCAGGTTGAATTTATTAAGAATTTTGCATAAACATTTAAAGATAAAATAGAGCTTCAAACGCGACCAGGGATGACAAGTTTTGATGGATTATTCGAAGCTTAAAGTGTCATTTTTTCCACGCGTAGGTGACGAATGATGGACTCCAAGCTGTGTAGCATAATGCGTCAAGATAACAAGACTTTTACAATGGAGCAATGAAAAGAGCATTAGACAAACTTGTGACAAAACTCAAATTAAGGCTTCTGCGTTTACTATGACAAATTACCATAGTGATTTTTCAGCTTTTTTCGGATGCAGAAGAACGTAAGAACATTTTTATATCTTTTTTCTAGCAAAAAGAATTGCTTATTTAAAGTCCCTGTACAACATATATATTTTGTTATGTATTTGAGCAAAATTTTTCTTGCCCAAGTACAGATATAAATTATAAGCGGGTCTCGAGGTCAAAATAAATCCACTGTGTAGTGATGGGACTTTCGGCTCTTTTATGGGATCTGAATCTTTTGGATCTTCCCTTTTCAGAGTTGTTCAAATGACTGGCTCTTTTACTATTTATTTCTATAACAGAAGTGGTAAATAATTTTAAGAACAAGCTAAAATCACAGAGAAATGTTCAAACTGAGAGTGGGAGTATGTATGCCTGAAAATACTGCATAACAGTACACAACAACTGTTACAATTTCAAGTATGTTTATTTTTGTGCAAAAACATTTCACTTGTGTTGCCTGCTCTGCTTCTTGTGTTGGTTCAGGGTTAATCAGTGTAAAAATGCAAACGATTTCAAAAGAAAAAATATCTGATTCTTTGAAAAAATGTGATCCATCTGTTCATGTTAAGGAACTATATAAAGAGCAGATTTTTTCACAAACATCACATCAATACCACTGTGACTTGTTGTATTGCAGTACTTCTCAATTATTTTCTGTCATTCCCCCCGAGGAAGAAGAAAACATTTTGCGCTCCCCACTCCACAGAACCACTACCAAATGTGGACAAATCACACCCTCGCCTTGAGTCGCCTACATAGAGAGCAAACAGTTAAGTCGCGTCTCCAAAACGACTCCAGGGACGCACGCAGCATGTGTCCGTCTGTATTCCACGCTGCACTGACCTGCGTCATGAGTCGGCCCGCTCCCGTGTCCTTCTCGTCTTTAAACATCATCTCGGTGTTAGAGTTCGGCAGTATCAACTCCTGTGCGATTTGGTACGCCACCTTTATATGATGCTAAAAGTGCTCGCTGGTTTATTGAAGTAGAATTCAAAAGCGGGGTGATTGTTGGCAAATGTTGGCAAACGTTGGCACATTTTTGCTGAAAAAACTCAAGCTTCTTATCAGCATGATTGGGGAGTGATGTCTTTAAGCAACACCGTAATTTATTGAGCTTCATGCTGTCCGCCGCCAACATTTTAAGACACGGTAAACACACAGGTCTTTTCTCGTTTCCCACCGTAGTCATAGTGAAGCTGAGCGCTATATACACTTTACATACAGTTTTAGGGTGACCAAACGTCCGTTTTTCCCTGGACATGTCTGTATTTTGCGTCATGTCTGGGGCGTCCGGGTTTTTTTTTTTATAAAGTGATGCAAATGTCTGGGTTTTCAGTACCGTTCATTGGGGGCATTAAACTGAGCGTCTCTTGTAGCGTCTGTGACTCAGAAGGAGTGAGACACAGTCGGTCAGCCTGCAACATACCGAAGCGTAAATGTGCTGAATAATGACTTGTACAAGAAATTCTCAGTTTTCCGTCCCGGTTGGGACAAGTGGAAGGCCATGTGCACAGGTTGTGAGGTGAGAGTACAGTGGTCCGCGGGGGTTACGTTCTAAAAATAGCAGGCCATAGGTGAAATCCACGAAGTAGTCAACTTTATATTTTACAATTATTCTATCTGTGTTAAGGCTGTAAAACCCCTCACCACAAACTTTATACACTTTTCTCAGACAGGACAGGTGCAACCCTTTTTACTTCCTTCTTAAAACTTGTTGCTGCTGTCGTCCTTGTGTTATTTTCCTTCTTTATGTAGCAAACTGAAGATTCATTTATTCCATAATGGAGCCCAACAGCGCAGAGTCCTGCACAGGTCCATTTTTGGAGACCCCCAATACAACACCGCACCCGCGCAGGACAGGACCACACCTGCCCGTTAACCCGAGATTATATGAAACTTTTGCGCCGCCTACGCCACGGACTGAACCAAGACTAAACCAGGACTAACCCAGGACTGATTCCAGGACTGAAGAGGAGGACTAATCCACGACTAAACTAGGACTAAAACAGGACTAAACCAGAACTGAAACAGGACTCACCGTCAGGACGGGCTTGGAGGTGATGGCAGGAGAATGGACCGGCTCAGCTCCGTATCTCACGGAGTTAAACGCGGGAATTGCCTGATCGCGCTTTGTGGACAAACTGCTCGGCGTTTTCTCTCTTAAATCCAAGATTAGTCCTGGTTTAGACCTGGTTTAGTCCTGACCCACCCGTGTGTAATTACTACCCACGTGTAATGCACAATACACATCCCGTCCCCCCCCAAAAGGTGTCCGGGTTTTCACAAACGGAAATATGGTCACCCTATACAGTTTGTTCTTTGCACTTCATATCTCCTACTCTGTGCTGTGTTTGTGTCTGCTCGGTGCAAAAAAAAAAACAGACACTGTAGCGCTTATACTCCCTACGCACACTCTGACAATGAGAGCATCACTGCCACCTACTGTAGTGGATGTGCTATTACACTGGTACAGCAAAAAAAAAAAAAAAAATAATTGTATGTTCCCCAAGGTCACACGCACCCCCCTGGCATTGCTCCACGCCTTCCCACTATTTGAGAAAGACAGTTCTATTGTAAGAGAATCAAGAAGTGCTTGGTCAGCATGCTTGTTGTCATTAGCTTTACCATGGCTGCTCTGGTCTCTGAAAGTTGTATAAAGAGCTTATAAACTCATCATGTTGTATAATTAGAATAGTTTGAATGGTAAAGTAAGTGGGGAATAACTATGGACCACTGCAAACCGTTTAAAATGAACTAGCTTTGTTTATCTCATTCTTAAGACAAACACAAAGAAAATCTACGAAACACAAGAGACAACGCATTGCAGAAAGTCCCCAAATCTCAATGCAATAAGGTGAAGGCACTGAAAAGCAGATTGGCCTCGTGAGCATATTTTCTTGAATCCGGATTTATCTTTAACAGTTTGTAAAGATCTGAGAGAAGATTTCTATACCTGGAC